TAACTACCGCAGAGCATAATAAAGAAAAAAGAAAGAAAAGAATCGAGGACTGTATCAGAGACCTCTGTGACAACATGAAACACACCAACATTCGAATTATAGGGGTCCCAGAAGAAGAAGAGAAAAAGAAAGGGACTAATAAAATATTTGAAGAGATTATAGTTGAAAACTTCCCTAATATGGGAAAGGAAATAGTCAATCAAGTCCAGGAAGTGCAGAGAGTCCCATACAGGATAAATCCAAGGAGAAATACGCCAAGACACATATTAATCAAACTGTCAAAAATTAAATACAAAGAAAAAATATTAAAAGCAGCAAGAGAAAAACAACAAATAACATAAAATGGAATCCCCATAAGGTTAACAGCTGATCTTTCAGCAGAAACTCTGCAAGCCAGAAGCGAGTGGCAGGACATATTTAAAGTGATGAAAGGGAAAAACCTACAATCAGGATTACTCTACCCAGCACGGATCTCATTCAGATTCCACAGAGAAATTAAAACCTTTACAGACAAGCAAAAGCTAAGAGAATTCAGCACCACCAAACCAGCTTTACAGCAAATGCTAAAGGAACTTCTCTAGGCAGGAAACTCAAGAGAAGGAAAAGACCTACAATAACAAACCAAAAACAATTAAGAAAATGGTAATAGGAACATACATATCGATAACTACCTTAAATGTAAATGGATTAAATGTTCCAACCAAAAGACATAGACTGGCTGAATGGATACAAAAACAAGACCCATATATATGCTGTCTACGAGACACCCACTTCAGACCTATGGACACATGCAGACTGAAAGTGAGGGGATGGAAAAAGATATTCCATGCAAATGGAAATCAAAAGAAAGCTGGAGTAGCAATTCTCATATCAGACAAAATAGACTTTAAAATAAAGACTATTACAAGAGACAAAGAAGGACACTACATAATGATCAAAGGATCAATCCAAGAAGAAGATAGGACAATTGTAAATATTTATGCACCCAACATAGGAGCACCTCAAAACATAAGGCAAATGCCAACAGCCATAAAAGGGGAAATCGACAGTAACACAATCATAGTAGGGGACTTTAACACCCCACCTTCACCAATGGACAGATCATCCAAAATGAAAATAAATAAGGAAACAGAAGCTTTAAACGACACATTAAACAAGATGGACTTAATTGATATTTATGGGACATTCCATCCAAAAACAACAGAATTCACTTTCATCTCAAGTGGTCATGGAACATTCTCCAGGATAGATCATATCTTGGGTCACAAATCAAACCTTGGTAAATTTAAGAAAATCGAAATCGTATCAAGTATCTTTTCCAACCACAGCTCTATGAGATTAGATGTCAATTACAGGAAAAAATCTGTAGAAAATACAAACACATGCAGGCTAAACAATACACTACTAAATAACCAAGAGATCGCTGAAGAAATCAAAGAGGAAATCAAAAAATACCTAGAAACAAATGACACTGAAAACACGACGGCCCAAAACCTATGGGATGCAGCAAAAGTAGTTCTAAGAGGGATGTTTATAGCAATACAATCCTACCTCAAGGAACAAGAAACGTCTCAAATAAACAACCTAACCTTACACCTAAAGCAATTAGAGAAAGAAGAACAAAAAAACCCCAAAGTTAGCAGAAGGAAAGAAATCATAAAGATCAGATCAGAGGGCTTCCCTGGTGGCGCAGTGTTTGAGAGTGACCTGCTGATGCAGGGGACACGGGTTCATGCCCCGGTCCGGGAAGATCCCACATGCTGCGGAGCGGCTGGGCCCGTGAGCCATGGCCGCTGAGCCTGCGTGTCCGGAGCCTGTGCTCTGCAGCGGGAGAGGCCACAACAGTGAGAGGCCAGCGTACCACAGAAAAAAAAAAAAAAAAAAAAAGATCAGATCAGAAGTAAATGAAAAAGAAATGAAGAAAACTATAGCAAAGGTCAATAAAGCTAAAGCTGGTTCTTTGAGAAGATAAACAAAATTGATAAACCGTTAGCCAGACTCATCAAGAAAAAAAGGGAGAAGACTCAAATCAATAGAATTAGAAATGAAAAAGGAGAAGTAACAACTGACACTGCAGAAATACAAAGGATCATGAGAGCTTACTACAAGCAACTCTATGCCAATAAAATGGACAACCTGGAAGAAATGGACAAATTCTTAGAAAAGCACAACCTTCTGAGACTGAACTGGGAAGAAACAGAAAATATAAACAGACCAATCACAAGCACTGAAATTGAAACTGTGATTAAAAATCTTCCAACAAACAAAAGCCCAGGACCAGATGGCTTCACAGGTGAATTCTATTAAACATTTAGAGAAGAGCTAACACCTATCCTTCTCAAACTCTTCCAAAATATAGCAGAGGGAGGAACACTCCTAAACTCATTCTACGAGGCCACCATCACCATGATACCAAAACCAGACAAAGATGTCACAAAGAAAGAAGACTACAGGCCAATATCACTGATGAACATAGATGCAAAATTCTTCAAAAAAATACTAGCAAACAGAATCCAACAGCACATTAAAAGGATCATACACCATGATCAAGTGGGGTTTATCCCAGGAATGCAAGTATTCTTCAATATATGCAAATCAATCAATGTGATACACCATATTAACAAACTGAAGGAGAAAAACCATATGATCATCTCAATGGATGCAGAAAAAGCTTTCGACAAAATTCAACACCCATTCATGATAAAAACCCTCCAGAAAGTAGGCATAGAGGGAACTTACCTCAACATAATAAATGCCATATATGACAAACCCACAGCCAACATTGTTCTCAATGGTGAAAAACTGAAACCATTTCCTCTAAGATCAGGAACAAGACAAGGTTGTCCACTCTCACCACTATTATTCAACATAGTTTTGGAAGTTTTAGCCACAGCAATCAGAGAAGAAAAGGAAATAAAATGAATCCAAATCGGAAAAGAAGTAAAACTGTCACTGTTTGCAGATGACATGATACTATACATAGAGAGTCGTAAAGATGCTACCAGAAAACTACTAGAGCTAATCAATGAATTTGGTAAAGTAGCAGGATACAAAGTTAATGCACAGAAATCTGTTGCATTCCTATATCCTAATGATGAAAAATCTGAAAGAGAAATTAAGGAAACACTCCCATTTACCACTGCAACAAAAAGAATAAAATATCTAGGAATAAACCTACCTAAGGAGACAAAAGACCGGTATGCAGAAAACTATAAGACACTGATGAAAGAAATTAAAGGTGATACAAACAGATGGAGAGATATACCATGTTCTTGGATTGGAAGAATCAACGTTGTGAAAATGACTCTACTACACAAAGCAATCTATACATTCATTGCTATCCCTATCAAACTACCAGTGGCATTTTTCACAAAACTAGAACAAAGAAATTCACAATTTGTATGGAAACACAAAAGACCCCGAACAGCCAAAGCAATCTGGAGAAAGAAGAACAGAACTGGAGGAATCAGGTTCCCATACTACAGACTATACTGTAAAGCTATAGTAATCAAGACAGTATGCTACTGGCACAAAAACTGTAGTATAGATCAATGGAACAGGATAGAAAGCCCAGAGATAAACCCACGCACATATGGTCACCTTATTTTTGATAAAGGAGGCAAAAATATACAATGGAGATAAGACAGCCTCTTCAATAAGTGGTGCTGGGAAACTGGACAGCTACATGTAAAAGAATGAAATTAGAACACTCCCTAACATCATACACAAAAATAAATTCAAAATGTATTAAAGACCTAAATGTAAGGGAAGACACTATAAAACTCGTAGAGGAAAACATAGGCAGAACACTATGACATAAATCACAGCAAGACCCTTTTTGACCCACCTCCTAGAGAAATGGAAATAAAAACAAAAATAAACAAATGGGACCTAATGAAACTTAAAAGCTTTTGCATAGCAAAGGAAACCATAAACAAGACAAAAAGACAACTCTCAGAATGGGAGAAAATATTTGCAAATGAAGCAACTGACAAAGGATTAATCTCCAAAATTTACAAGCAGCTCATGCAATTCAATATCAAAAAAACAAACAACCCAATCCAAAAATGGGCAGAAGACCTAAATAGACATTTCTCCAAAGAAGATATACAGATTGCCAACAAACACATGAAAGGATGCTCAACATCACTAATCATTAGAGAAATGCAAATCAAAACAGTGAGGTAGACTACCTCACAGCAGTCAGAATGGCCATCATCAAAAAAATTACAAACAATAAATGCCGGAGAGGGTGTGGAGAAAAGGGAACCCTCTTGCACTGTTGGTGGGAATGTAAATTGAGACAGCCACTATGGAGAACAGTATGGAGGTTCCTTAAAAAACTAAAAATAGAACTACCATACGACCCAGCAATCCCACCACTGGGCATATACCCTGAGAAAACCATAATTCAAAAAAGTCATGTACCACAATGTTCATTGCAGCTCTATTTACAATAGGCAGGACATGGAAGCAACCTAAGTGTCTATCGACAGTTGAATGGATAAAGAAGATGTGGCACATATACACAATGGAATATTACTCAGCCATAAAAAGAAACGAAATTGAGTTATTTGTAGTGAGGTAGAAGGACCTAGAGACTGTCATACAGAGTGAAGTAATTAAGAAAGAGAAAAATAAATACTGTATGCTAACACATATATAAGGAATCTAAAAAGAAAAAAAAAAGATTCTGAAGAACCTATGGGCAGGACAGGAATAAAGATGCAGATGTAGAGAATGGACCTGAGGACACGGGGAGGGGAAAGGGTAAGCTGGGACGAAGTGAGAGAGTGCCATGGACATATATATACACTACCAAATGTAAAATAGATAGCTAATAGGAAGCAGCCGCATAGCACAGGGAGATCAGCTCGGGGCTTTGTGTCCACCTAGAGGGGTGGGATAGGGAGGGTGGGAGGGAGACACAAGAGGGAGGGGATATGGGGATATATGTATATGTATAGCTGATTCACTTTGTCATAAAGCAGAAACTAACACAGCATTGTAAAGCAATTTTATTCCAATAAAGATGTTAAAAATAAATTTGAGTTTCAAATCTTGCTGCCTTTTCTCCTGGGGAATCCCGGTTGAATCTCTCTGTGAACTGTGAATTGAATTGGCAGTGACACCCGAGGAATTTGAATCAGAAAGTTCTCCTCCAGGAAGGGATGACCAGCCCGCACTTCTCCTCTCTTTGCTTTCGGCTACCTGATGGGACCTAACCCACCGGCAGCAGCAGCAGCGAATCCTAGGTTGTGGGAGCTGAACGAGGATTTACAGTTTTGGAGCTTGAACTCGGAAGGTGCTGGTGAAGATGACGTGGGTGATGCTGGGAGGGGCCGCATTTTCCCACGGCCGTTTCTCCGCGGAGATGGTCCTTGGATGCTCACTCGGCCTTGGCAGCGGGGTTGCCGACTTCCAGTCCCGCTGCGTCTGAGTGGCAGCTCAGTGGGAAACCCAGCTCAGCACAATGAAAGCCCTGGTCCTCAAGGCTGAGGCAGGAATACACGCAGCTCTTTTCCCAGGCCTCCCGAGGAAGGGGGAGGGGCAAGGCCACGGGTGCTGTGAAACTGCCCTCTTTCCGGCAGGCATCCCGCTGTTCCATTTCCCATCGCCTTCAGTAAGCAAGCATTCATACGCTAAAAGTGGTAACATCAGGGTTTTGACAGTGTGTTTGATTTTGTCTTCCTAAGAAAGGATTTGTGATGAAGACAAAGGTTCCTTTCATCCCATTCTGGGGAGGTTGGCAGGGAAGAGGTTACATCCCCAGCGAGGGGCTGAAATTTTATTCCAAGTGAGCTGGGCAGTCATTGGGAGGTGCAGCCATTCAAGGACGGTGTGTGCTCTGGAACACAAGAGGCTTGCCTGGAACTGGGGGAAAGTTTATGAGCTCTATCTTCTCCCTCATAAATTTTCATAGCGTGGTAGAAAATTAGGGTCAAAAGAAACAATTTCCCACGGTAAGATGGAATCAGCTTTTAATTTGGGAAGCGGGTCCTGGCACTCTGGGCCATCACATAGCATGATTAATTAATTAATAAATATTGATTTGGTATTGTACTAGGAATAATGGTGAACAAGACTCAGCCCCTGCCCTTAAGATGCTTGTAGCCTGGTGTTGGAGAGAGGCAGTAACAGGTACTGGTTGGAAAAGATTTGCTCCAATTTCACCTGGCTTTGATAAGTTTTATTAACTCACCCCAAGTGGAAACATCTACAGAATGATACCCACATTTTCCCTGGTACTGAGATCCTGCAGCTCTTTACGTGGTGAACACTCCTTCAAGCATCTTTAAAGTGTCTGTGATTTAAGAACAACTCTTTCTGTTGGCGCTAGTGAATTAACCAAGGTCCACACCCACCCACTCAGGTGCCCGGAAAGTTGGGGCACTCACAGTTTGATTTGGTGAACCCCCCTGTTCATCTTTCTATGTCTTTTCCACTCTCTTGAGGATTCCAAAATCTCTCATTCTCTCTCCCCACTCCATCCTCTCAGGAAAAGAATCTGAAACTTAACCCACACCGAGATTTAAGGAACTAGTGAAGCTCAAAGTGTGCTGCAATGAGGGGCAAAGTTGTTTTCATGGTTTTGGCCTAAGTTCCCCTAAATTCCACGTACGTGGTTAATATATGTGGAATAACAGAATAAATGAACACACAAACAAAAAATAAAATAAAACAATAAGATGTATTGGAAAGCCCAAAAAGGGAAGGGGAGTTAGGCAGACAGAACAGTAGCATTCTAGTGCTCCAAGGAAGGTCATTAAGCAATCAACAAACACACACACAAAGAAAATATATTATAACAGCAAAAAATGTAGAGATTTTCAGAATTATCCATGCCAAAGACTGTAAACAACCTGATACCAGCACAAAAGGGGAAGCAGAGTTAGGCAGACAGAACAGTAGCACTCTAACATTCCAAGGAAGATCATTAGGCAATCAACAAACACACACAAAGAAAATATAACAGCAAAATAAGTAGCGATTTTCAGAAACGAAGATCATCCATCCCAAGAGAAGACAGTAAAGTACCTGATCCCAACACGTGTACACACTACACTGCCCTCCATTCATTTTGCCAAAGCGTTACCATGGCCTGAGGCCTGCAGCAGCCATAGGCTCACAGGTGTCTGCAGCCACTGGGCCAGAAGGTGACCCTCCTGGCAGAAACCCTTTGACAGAATTTTGTACCCAGCGTGTGTGTTGCTCTTCCCGTGGAAGCTGAGCCTCTGATCTGGGATGTCGCTGCCGGGAGAGGTTAGGGCGTTTAAAGTCACCACAATCTCCCAATGCCTTTGCCACCTACCTGCACTCCCTTCTCCCGTCCGGTTCCACTCATGCGATCCATCACTTCCAGAGACCAATTAACTCTTAATTTCTTTTCCAAAAAGAAAAGCTTAAAGGTTTTAAATTATTCAACTCGCGCCAAGTGATATTGACCCCTTGAGTAATTCTCTTGTCGAGCCGCCCTTTAAACAGCACGAGAACACCGTGCCGTATGTTCATCACCCCACTCCTCACCCGCCCCTGCACACACCCCAGCTTTATCCAAGTGACTCTCACCTTTAGGATCAGTTTCAAGCGGGGCAGCTTCCTCAGCCTGTGCACTTCCCCGTGGGCAGGTGCTGTGCGGTAGACTTCCCAGGGTGAGGAAGAGGGAGAACCACATCGATGGGAAACTATAATAGTTTCTTAATGAAGAAGGTTCTGGTCCCATTTCTGAATTAAGACCAACAGTTTGGTTCAGACCAGATAAAGAACGCAGCAGCACGCTGGTGTAGAAGCAAGCTATCAATTTTTAGATATTAGTTATCTTGCATCCAGCCAGTTTGCTGATTCTTTATCAGGAAATGCTTCTTCAGTTGATTGTCTGGGGTTTTCTTAGGTAGTCAACAATATGGGCTGTGCTTTTCTCCCCCTCCTTTTAGGTAATTATGTATCTTATTTCCATTTGATATCTAAGTGCATTGCCCAGAGCTTCCAGGAAATGGTGAGTAATAATAACGATATCAGACATCCTTGGTTTACCCACGGTTTTAGTGGAGATACTTCTAGGGTTTCACATTTAAGTCAGCTGTTGCTCAATAAAGCTACATATTCTATCCCAGATTTGCACCTTCTTATCTCTAGTGTTTTAAGGCTTTTTCTTATCTCAATAGGGCAAGAGCCTTGAACTTCACAAATCTCTTCAGCATCTAATGAACTTTTCCTTTTAAGTTACCGATTTGATTTATTAATATATTAGTATTAGTGTAGCTATTCTTGTATTCCGGTAGTAAATCCTACGTGATCATAATAAATGATTCTTTAAATGTGCTATTAAATTTAATTTGCTAGTATCTTATGTAGGATTTCACACCTATGTTAAAAGGTCGGGTTGATCTAGATTTCTATTCTGAAGTTTGGGGAAAATAAATCTTTAACAATTTTAAAATTTTTAATTATTGGACTATTCAAGTTTTCCATTTTGTCCGGTTAAAAATTTTTCTATTTATTAGCATTTATTGTATTTTATAATCTTTTAAAACTCCTCCATACTTATTCATTCCTTCCTTCAATAAATATTGTGTTTAACTTTATAAACTCAATTCATAATAAGGACTCTGCCAGGGAGACTTGACATTTTAGGGATTAAATCACTGTGCCTGGTGTTGATTTAGGTGCTGATGATACAGTCATGAAAATACCCAGAGATCTCTTCTAATGGAGCTTCCATCCTAGTGAGGGAAACCATAGACGAGGTAAACAAATTGATAGCAGACAGTGACAGGAAGATGACAAAGCGAGGGCATGTGACGGGGACAGGAGAACGTGGCTGCCTGGGACACAGTGCTCAGAGGAGCTGGGGTTTCGTGGGAAGCAGGCCTGTGAAGGCCAAGGGCCAGCAATGCCAAGGCTCCAAAGCCAGAACGTGCGTGGTAGGTTAAAGGACAAAAGGAAGGGCAGGAAAGGGCTTCCCTGGTGGCACAGTGGCTGGGAATCCGCCTGCCAATGCAGGGGACGCGGGTTCGAGCCCTGTTCCGGGAGGATCCCACATGCCGCGGAGCAACTGAGCCCGTGCGCCACAACTACTGAGCCCGCGTGCTGCAACTACTGAAGCCTGTGCACCCACGGGCCTGGAGCCCGAGCTCCGCAACAGGAGAGGCCACCGCAATGAGAAGCCCGCGCACCGCAACGAAGAGTAGCCCCCGCTCGCTGCAACTAGAGAAATCCCACGTGCAGCAACGAAGACCCGAGGCAGCCAAAAGGAAATTTAAAAATTAAAAAAAACAGAAGGGCAGGAAGGAAGGAAAGGCAGGCAGGTGATGAGCAAGGAGGCCAAGAGACAGGCACAGATGAAGTCCCTCTTGGGTTTCTCTGGAAGGCTGGATGGATTGCTAAGGGCAACGGGAAGATGCTGGAGGACTTTTCGCATGGCTGGACAGGATCCACGCACACTTTCAGAAGGGCAGTCTGGCTGTGGTAGGAGTGTTGGGGCAGAGAACCAGAGAGGCTGCGGGGAGACTAGTTCGGGGTTGAGGCGTTGCATGGGCAGGAGGTGAGGGTGTGGCCATGTCCCTCCTCTCATTTTGCTTGTTCTTTTCCTCCCCTGAGTAGATATTCTGGAAGTATGCCTGCTTGATCGCTTTCATCTAAGAAACAGCTCTTGGCTTTCCTGATGTACTCACTCTTCTGATGTTCTGTTATCGATAATTCATTAATGGTGTTTTAGCCTCTGTGATTGCCTTCTGTCTACTTTGACATTCTGTTCCTTTTGCTCTCTTCTGAGTCTTAGCTCATTCGTGTTTTGCTTTCTTTAAAAACAAAAACATTTAGAGATTTCAGTGTATCCTATAAATCTGATAGATAGCAAAACCTTAGTTTCAGCAGACATTGCCAGTTAGGGCATTAACATCAGGGATCCAAAGTTCACTAGATCAAGGTCCAACATGGACAACTGTGATTCTTTTTGAACCCTCCCCCCTTTGAGTAACTCTCCACCCTACTGAAACAGAGCAGGACCCTGTGGTCCTCGCCCCCCATGTCCTCAGCCTTCCTCTTGTCTGTGGAAAAACTGTAGGCAAAGAATAAGTTTAAATCAGAGAAGTGAGAAAATGCAGAAACAAAGGAAAACAGCCCAACAAGACAAAATAATAATAGTTTAGTCAGTAAGTGAAGTCAGGGACCTTTAGCTCCTCCTCAAGGAATATTCTGAGCCCTATCCTGTGAGCTGTCTTGCAGATACAGAAACCCTCACCAGGTGGAAGAAGTTAACTACGTGATGACCAGACTGGAGCCATGACAGAAGCTGCCACAGTTCCGAGAACTGGCTTCAAGGAAATGGGCACAAACCGACCCTGGAACTGCAGATGAACTGTACTTAAAACAATCAAGATGACGCCGATCAGACCACCAGTGACCAATTTCAAGATGACGGTCAGAGCCGACTGTGCTGTTTTCTGCAGGTAGCCCCTCCCTCCGTCTATAAAAGCTCTTGTCCACTGGTTGTCGGTGGGGGGAGTCAGCCTTTGGACAGGAGTCTGCCCTCCCCGCTCTGGTTGCCAGCATCCGAAACAAAGCAAACTTTCCTTTCCACCAACCTTGCCTCTTTATTGGCTTTTGAGCAGCAAGCTGCCAGACCCCACTTTGGGTTACACTATGGAACACAGCCTGCCTAACCCATATTAAATGATAATCCTAGATGCCTTCCCAGTCCCCTGTGCCAGGACACGGGCGTTAGACTCTAAGTCAGAAGCCAGGGAAGGGAGAACCAGGGCTGCGCACACCTGCTGGGATGTGGCAGCAAGGGCCACCATCACACACAGGGGCCAAGGAGCTGATGAGAGCTGATGGGAAGAAAAGTTCCACGAAGGAGAGACAACCAAACACGTCCAAGGTCCCTAGAAGACCAGGTAAGGGGGGCAAAGAGAACTGGCCACTGGAGGTGGCAACAGGGAGGCCACGGGAGGGGAAGCCCTTTCCGATGGTGTGAGCAGGGAAGGCCGGCCATCACCTGGAGGAAGGAGGTACCACGGAAAGTTGGAGGTTTGCGGGAAGGAGGGTGTGAGAACCCCCTGGAAAGAGACCGTCCTCTGCTGTGCTTGCCAACTTTTTCAGATTTTCTGAACATCTGAAAATTTTTTAGCAGCCAATCTCCATGGCATGTGTGTGTGTGTGTTTGTTTCAGAGAATGCAAGAATACAAGTTAGATAAATTGCATCCTAGTCTAAAGCCAGTATGAGGAGAGAGAACCGTGGGTCGCCAGAAAGGTCCCCGGGTCCCAGGGTCTACGGAGGGAAATTCAGGACTGTGATCCCTCTGGTCCTGAGCAAAGCACAACCATCCCCTAGATATGGCCTCATCTTCCATCAGGAAACTGGACTTCATATGTTTGGAAATTGAATTTCACTGATGTGGACGCCCAATATATTTTTTCCCTCCAATATAGCTTTATAACTGCAAAAGCTGGTGGAGGCTATCTAACAAACCCCATTTTGCTTTTGCTGAATACAGCACATCACCCTCCTGGTGAGCACATGTTTTAGCTGTCTCCGTCCGAGACCCCTGCTTCCCTCCGTGGGCCAATGCCTATCTTTTCATAAATTAATTAATTAATTTAATTTTTGGCTGCATTGGGTCTTCGTTGCTGCGTGCAGGCTTTCTCTAGTTGAGGTGAGCAGTGGCTACTCTTTGTTGCGGTGTGCAGGCTTCTCATTGTGGTGGCTTCTCTTGTTGCGGAACATGGGCTCTAGGCACGCGGGCTTCAGGAGTTGTGGCGCACAGTCTTCAGGAGTTGTGGCTCGTGGGCTCAGTAGTTGTGGCACATGGGCTCAGTAGTTGTGGCTCGCGGGCTCTAGAGCGCAGGCTCAGTAGTTGTGGTGCGCGGGCTTAGTTGCTCCGTGACATGTGGGATCCTCCCGGACCCGGGCACGAACCTGCGTCCCCTGCATCGGCAGGCGGACTCCCAACCACTGCGCCACCAGGGAAGCCCACCAATGCTTATCTTTGAAGGTACTCCCATCCTATGGGCGAGCTGGAAAGAAGTCAAGAACAAAAATATTTGATGAGGCTAAAAGCAGGCTTTCCCTGTCAAAATGCTGTACTTTACCACCAAAAGTGAATCCCAGACCTTAAAATCTTCCCTTGGAGCCCGCACGCCCCAGACGACACTTGTAACCTTGTCGCTGGCTTTCTGGTGACTGACCCTCCCTTTTCCAGGAGTAAGAGTCTCCTCTCACACGTACAATGTTAAGTCCCCATGGCAGACAGCTAATTTTAAACTGAATCTACAGAGTGAATGCCAGATGCTACAATCCTCGATTAAAGGGCTTTCACCCTATTCCTATTTACAAAAGGATATTTGACTCCCTGACCCACATTCATTTTCTTGTCTTTGTTAACCACGAGGTGTCTACCTAGGAAGAAATAGACACAAAGGGTCTGTGTTCCGAGGATGAACGACTGTATTTGACTTTGGACGTGAAGCTCGCCATCGAGCGGGGATGTCTGCATCGGCTACATCGGAGCCCTGGACAGACTCTAGGATAACCCTTTAAACAGCTCATACTCATCCTCTTCCCAAACCCACTAGGAAAACATTGTGCTGAACAACTGAACATCCTGCAGGGCAACCTTTGAGGCCATAAATAGATGATGAAAATAGATAATCCAAATAAATAAAAAATTCTTTATAGCTTTTATTTTAACAGGGCCCATCTGAACTCAAATCAAGAGGCAGA